AGAGAAAAGAGTGGCCACTGGCCAACTGAGGGAAGCACTATTAAACCCTAACGAATACCAATAGACACAAGGATTACCTTACCTACAAGGATTAACTTTGTAATTTGAGTTTTTTTTTTTTCCATATCTTGTTTAAAAAAAACGTTCTTTTGCGGTAATAACGGCAGGTATGATGACGTGGACATAGGTGGTTAGTTCGTCGGTCCATTGTGGGCCTCTAACAAAAAGCCCAATTAAGCCCAAATCGAACTGCGTAGTAAATTGGTAAAGCTCCACGCTCTAAAACCCTGGGCTCTAGAAAGGCCCAATATTCACGAAATGGGCCTCATATAGTGAGAACTGACACGTGTGTCGATCGGATGAGACACGTGTAGGTAGATGGCCGGTCGTGGGAAGAACCAGTTACCTTCTTCTTCCAAAATGATTATACATCTAATTAGTTAATTAAACTAACTACACTATTAGTCATTGTTAAGATCTTGAGGGTTAGATTTGAACTGATGACAACAATGTTCTCCGATTGTGTGCTGTAGAATTAATTCAACAATATGGTTCCATATAGAAGTGGATATTTCGGAATTCGATTTAGAATTTTAGCACTTTAGTTCAGGATCGGTTTATTCGGTATTCTAAAATTTATACTAAATTAATATCATATGTTATTGAGTTTGGTCCAATTTCGATACGGTTCGATTTTGATTTTTTTTAAAAAAATAGATTGTCTTAAAAATAAAAAATTATTTTTTCGATAATTTTATAAAGTTCGATTCGTTTTGATTCTGTAAAATTCAGTTCTCTACAAAATATATCTTTTGAAGATTTTGAATAATACAGTTCGAAAAAAATACTAAAATTTTTGGTTCGGTATAATGCAGTTTCGAATAACCAAAAGTGAAAAGGATATCCTTTATATGTGGACAATTTTTTTTTTTTATAACTCAAATTTATTATACCTTTAGATTGGAAGACAACTTTTAAAACAATTAAATTGTTCTCGTCTCCCCCTCTATAGAACCGAACATGAGATCTCTAAACTAAAGTGGATAGTTTTGTTTTTGGTTAAAGTAAAGTAGACAATTTTTGTTGATATTTTTTTTCCGGTATTGATCCGTGAAAACTTGAATGAATACCGAGTGAAAGATAATAAGTTTTTAGAATGAGATTAAGAGGATATAAAGCAAAAAGTTTAGACGATACAAATAATATTGTCGTTAAGGATGGTGATTGCGTATGATTTTTCATTGGATCCATTGTCGGAGACCTTACCCGTCGGTCAGTGGTGAACAGTGAAATGGACCCACGTGAATTATATGGTAGAAGCATTCGTATAAATGGTTAGGAATCATATAATATATAGTAATGTAGTATGATCCCAAGTTTCGGATGATATTCTTTGTTGAAATCGAGGTACGCACTCCCTCTCTCTTTTTTTTCCCTTTTTTTTGATAAAATGTTTTATATGGTTGGTTTTGTGATAAAAGAGTTACATTGGCTTTGATGTTCGAATATGGAAAAAAAAAAAAAAGGAACATGAACAAAAAATCCAAAAGGAATGTGCACACTGAGATATAAGCTAGGATATCAATTTATGATGCAAACCTACCGGCTCGACCGCTTCTTTAAAAAAAAACTATTTCGTATTATGACTGAAACCAAATCAAAGTAGTTAGTTTAAAATAAGAAAGAATCAGTCTTCCTCACCACAACGATTGAAAGGCATGCAATCTCCCACTTTTATTTTCTTGTTTCCTGCACAACTTGTATTTGCATTATAAAAAATCATTGAGATATTGAATAAAGACAGAGAATCGTTTTATCAAAAAATATTGTTGTCGACCCTTACTCTGATTGGGACCTATCCTTAGTATCAGAGTCTATCTTTTTTTTGTTCTTCATAGTTGATCCGCACCACTAAATAGTATCACGATGACAATAAAAGAACGCATTGACAATTTAGAATCTGGATTGTCTATCTTTCATTTTCTGCCATTCATGATCCGGACCATAACACGTAGTATCACAATGATGACCAACAAAGAACGCATCGAATTTCTAGAAACAAACTTTCGATATTGTAGGGTGAATTCGTCCAAATGCAGATGTTCATGATTAGGCAATTCTATGCACCAAAAAAGTCTCTCACCCGTCTCGTTGATTCTCTTGCAGTGACACATATCACTTTTCCATTCGACCGAGGGAAACAATTCGGCTAAGACTACGTGGGAGAACGCGGAACTGTCACGTATCAAGCAGAGGATGATGAAATAATGCGGCTGTGTTGATATTTGCATGTACATCGTGATTTATACAACGCAGAGGACACTTAACCTAGCCTACAATTTAGGAAATACAATCGTGGAAATAACAACTCCCGCATGTTACGTGATAGTGAATATCTATTTCCCAATACCCTCCCTCAAGTTGGAGCATAGATGTCATGTGTGCCCAACTTGTCCAAGAACGTGTCGAACTCTTTCTTCCCGAGTGCTTTCGTAAATATGTCGGCTAGCTGGTTGAATGTTGAAACATGGCGAGTGGTGATCGTATGGCTTGTCAGATGATGGCGTAGAAAATGGCAGTCCACTTCTATATGTTTCGTCCGTTCATGAAACACGTCGTTGGCCGCTATTTGTAAAGCCGATTGGCTGTCACAGTGTAATGCCATCGGAGATGAGTGATCAACACCAAGTGTGCGCAACAAACCTTTAAGCCACAATAGTTCACAAGTGGTCACAGCCATAGAACGGTACTCGGCTTCTGCGGATGATAACGAGATGGTGTGTTGCTTCTTCGATTTCCATGAGATAGGCGATTGTCCAAGTTGTATTATCCATCCCGACAGTGATTTTCTTGATATTGGACATCCTGCCCAATCGGAATCACACCATCCATATAACCGTAAATCGGAATCAGAACGAAGCAAAATGCCTTGTCCCGGACAGCGCTTAAGGTATCGGACAACTCGAAGAACGGCATTCCAATGGTCTTCGCGAGGTTCCTGCATGAATTGAGACAGAATATGCACTGCGTAAGTGATGTCGGGTCTGGTAGCAAGTAGATATATCAAGCGTCCAACGAGGCGTCTGTATGGTTCCGGATCGTGTAGAAGTGGGCTCGTAGATAGGCCGAGTCGATGGTTTTGATCAATCGGAAAAGATGCTGGTTTTGCTCCCAATAAGCCCGACTCAGTGAGAATATCTAGAGTGTACTTTCGTTGGCATAGAGAAATGCCCGAATGATTGCGAGCGACTTCGATACCGAGAAAGTACTTGAGAGATCCAAGGTCTTTCATGTGAAAGCACTTGCCGAGGTACGTCTTGAAGACGTTCATGGCAAGAGGGGAATTCCCTGTGACAAGGAGGTCATCGACATAAATCAAAACATGAATCCGAGTGTCTCCCTTGTCAAAAACGAACAGTGAATGGTCGGACTGCGATTGAACAAATCCATAATCCCTTAGGGCTGCACCAAGTTTAGCAAACCAACAGCGCGGCGCTTGCTTTAAACCGTATAAAGATTTTCTTAATCGACAGACAAGGTGCGGGGAGGACGGTGTGAAACCTGGCGGCGGTTTCATATACACTTCGTCACCAAGATCTCCGTGGAGGAATGCGTTGTGTACATCCATTTGATGGACGTCCCATTGACGAGCCGATGCAACAGCAAGGAAAGTCCGAACCGTCACCATCTTTGCGACCGGAGCAAATGTTTCCTCATAATCAACCCCTTCCGTTTGTTTGTTACCCAAGATAACTAGTCGAGCTTTGCGACGTTCAATGGTGCCATCGGATCGATACTTGATACGATAAATCCATTTACATCCAATAGCTTTCTTCGTCGGCGGCAAAGGTTCAAGAGACCATGTATTGTTTCTGTCCAAAGCATTCAGTTCTTCCCGCATTGCCATACACCATCTGTTATCTTTAACCGCTTCTTTGTATGTACGTGGCTCTGTTTCTGTTGTCACGGCAGCTAAGAACGCCATGTGTGATGGACTGATATTAGTGTAAGAGACAGAGCTGGCTAAGGGATAATTAGTACCTGTGATACCCGAATCTGTTGAAGCATTGACGGGAGACAAAATGTTCGTTGAAACCTGCACTGTGTTGGTGACGAAATTTCGAAGAAGCACATTTTGGAATTTCTGTCGGTGACCCCTACCGAGGGTGGTGGGATCAGGTTCTTGTTCTGGAGTTACGACAGTTTCCAAATCAGCATGATCATGAGTAAAAGAAGACGAGGCACTGCCCATATTTGTGTCCATGTCATTCGATTGCAGAGGAGCTGAAAGCAATGGCGAAGAATGATCATCTGATGTCTGAGGAGCAGTACCTCCAACAGGTAGGGGAGCTGGAGGCAGAGGGTCATCCGGATCATGCGGAAACAGAGTGTTCGACGAAATCAATGGTAGAACTGAAGGTGACGAAGCAGGTACGTTCTCCGAAAATGGAAACCGATTTTCGCAGAAGACCAAATCTCGTGAGACCTGAAACTTCTTAGTTTCAAGGTTGTATATCCGCCATCCTTTGGTTCCGGATGGATATCCAACAAATACAGATTTGAAACCCCTCGGAGCAAACTTATCACCACTGCGATTTTGATTATGAACGTAACACAAGCTTCCGAAAACTCGAAGATGATCATATTTTGGAAGCTGCCCATGTATGAGTTCATAAGGTGTGCGACCATCCAGAATCGTTGACGGAGTTCGGTTAATGAGATAACCCGCTGCTAACACACTGTCACCCCAAAATTCAATGGGTAAATTGGCCTGAAACATCAATGCTCTGGCGACATTCAAAATGTGTCGATGTTTGCGCTCAACGCGACCGTTTTGCTGAGGCGTTCCGACACACGACGTTTCATGCAGAATCCCTTTATCGGCAAAATACGGGCGCAAAGAGACGAATTTTGAACCATTATCTGATCGAATTGTCTTGACATTGGTGTTGAATTGTCGATCAACAAAAGAAATGAAATTTCGCAGATGTACTGATGTTTCATCCTTGCACTTAAGTAAATAAATCCATGTGCCGCGAGAATAATCGTCAACGATTGTTAAAAAATACCGTGCACCCGAGAAAGATGG